CATGAAACTTAACCATTATGAATTTTCTTTACAATCTGAAGTTATCATACATTTTAATTATATATATTTTAAGACCATATAAGCAAAAAGGAATCTTAGGAGGGGTGCAATAACATTAATTTAAATGCTAATGCAAAACAAACCAAAATAATATTTCTCTAGCTTTCCCTGTAGATAAAATACCATATATTTGGTTGAAAAGCCTCCATTTTTGTGCATTGTGGATGCAAAAAAGATGCATTGTACTTTGTGCTGTATCAATAATTCTCTATTTCGTTCTGGACTTAAATAAAATTTGAAATGAGACGGGCACTTTTAGTTGGAATCCATCTCTGAGGCTTAAGTAAAATATGTACTGAACACTGCAGGAGATGGAGCATTTATCAAAAAGTTTAAATCTCTTCTCATCGTACAAGCTCTGAGCTTGTTTCTGCAAGCGCGTGAGCACAGTGTGTACTCTCACTGCTGTCAGCCTAAGAGATATACACAGTGTTTGCGATACCTGATAAACTTACCAGTAACTTCCCCATAATTAAACTAAACCATTTCTTGATGCATCTGTTGAAGTAATCCATAGGTGTTCTGTGCATTACTCCTCATCAGCAATGTTGGGGAATGCATTCTGATTTTTAATGTTCAATGCTAGAATGACCAAACTAAAATAATACTCATATGGTAATCGAAACTTTTTGAAAAAGTAGAATTGCATTACTATATACAGTGGAAAGCTATTTATTGTACCTCTGGGCTTACTCCTCTAAAAATCATAGCGTAAAAAATCTTTGTCAAGCCTGAAATGATGTATATAACTGAAATAATGTAAAGTTATATTTTCATGTTTTTATACTTAACAACATGATGGGAATACATAATGTATGAGTATTTCAATTACAGATAATATTGATTGGATAATACACATCTCAGTTAAAAAGCAGTAATCATAGTTTAATATCCATGTTACAGTACATCCGTATATTGCTATATAAAGTATGTCTGTGTGCATTTAAGTGAAAAAGTAGCTGAGAGTGATGAAAGCTGTCCAAGGGTTTTTTATTCATTTTATATGAAAACTGTTATGGAGCAACCAAAATGTTTATGAACTTAATCTTGTGTGAATTTCAAAATGTCCTTTCTTGTAGCTTTTTGTTTACAGTACAGTATCTTATTTTCTGCTTTGTTAAATGAGTAACAGTACAAAGCTGGACATACACTTTCTAAGACATTAACATTCCTGTTTTTTCATGTATACCTATATGACAGAAGATGCTTCTGATTTTATTTTTAAATCTAACACATGATGGCTTTTCTGGAGTGTTGTATAAACTTCAATCATACATAAAAAATCTTCTTAAAAAAGGCAAAAGACCCTTAATGTCTGTTTAGTATTATTGAAATCTGTTTTCTTATTCCTTATAAATGTATTCTCCAAAGGTTTTACATCAAGAAAACCTGTTTGTCTTCCCCAGACATGAAATTTCCTGAATTTTGCAAGGAGAATATGAATTTTCCACAAAATTATCTTCTCACTCAAGTGTAGATTTGTTGTAGTTTGCATTATCGCTAAACAAAATAATGCAACTTTCTTGCCAATAGTGTAATTGTCTTTCTGGAACGTAACTTTCTTGATCGTGCTTATAGTGGCAGTGTGGTAGGATGGTATGCTCATAAAGTTAAGTATCTATTCAATAATTCTACTGAAAAGCTGTCAGATATTCCTTGGACCAGTAATTTTTTACTTCAACAGATTTTTGATGTGTTCAAACCAGGGAAAGAACCTGAGAAAAGGCAAGTATTTTAGGTATATGTTAGTAGTGTTGCTGTTATAAATCTACAGTAGAGATTTACAGTATGGAAGGTTCAACTCTGTTTTAAATGAGTAACTTTTTAATAGAGAGTGTGTCTTGGGAACTTTGTCCTCTTTGGCTGATAAGATGTGGGCAACATCTTTACACCAAGTACAGTGCCTGCATAATTATACTTTTAAAGTACGAATATATGATTTCAGCTATCTTTTGGTGCAATTAGGTGTCTGAATATAGTGTTACTCTCTTCTTGTCACCAGCAAAATAGAATCAGGAGCAGCTATGTTCTGGGTAATATCTGTTACTCGGATATCAGGCTACTCAGATCTGTATAATAGTACCAAAGTTTAATATTAATTAAGTAGTTTCATTTATCCTGGCATGACATCACAAAAATTTATTGAGACACCTATCAGATCCAAATTATCTTAACAATTATAAGATTGTTATATAGATTTACAATTATAAGATTACAGTCTTATAATTGTAACAATTATAACATTGTTACAATTATCTGTGGGTTCAACTTTGAGGATTTTCTCTGGCATTAGTTTTTGTAGATAATATACAGCACTACATATGTGTGTAAGATAGAATTCAGGAATTGTATGCAACGTTGGCACTTATGTGACGAATTTCATTTAATCTATGCCTCCTGTTGCTTTTCCTGAAATTTGGACAATAGTTTTTGTCTCCTTTTACTACTCCTGATAGTCTAAACTTTGGAGCTGCTTCAAATAGCTCCATTGTAAAAACACCATAAAAATATTCTTTTTCTGCCCTTAATGCTATCCCTTCCTCTCTCCCCAAAAAAGTAGACAGATAAACATGCCTCTATCTAGAGTGTAAGGACCTGTGGGAACTTCAAGGGGTAAAAGTTTCGTAACAAAAGATTCTCAATTAGTTCCTACTTGCATTTAGAAGGTATCGACTCCTAATACCTTGAAATGATTGTACTATTTGTAATAAGTCTTATTTTTAGAGCTTTCCTAATGTATTGACTATTACATTGATGATTACAACTGCAGTGCAAGTTGGATCCATTTAGTGCTTTAACATAAGATTTACTGAATCTCGGTATTATTTGGAAAAAAAAAAAAAAGAAATCTTCTTTAAAGGAGGATTTTTGTAAACAGGTGCCAAAAAATAGACCACTATAAGATACAGTAGAAGAGTTCTGAGAGGTACAAATCTAACTCACTTGTGACTTTGATACTTTTGCGTCATGAGGCCTTACCACACTCCCTAACCTTAAAGGTAGCGCATATTAGATGATATGTTTTCTTTCTTTTCTCTTACTCCACCACATGCAGTTAGTTCTAATACATACTTTCTAGCTGGGTGGGCAGATAAAAATATAATTACTGTATATAATGCTGATTATAATTTTTTAAAATTTGATTTGACAGTCATTCAAAATGTTTTTTATGGCTCATTGCATCTGGCTTCTGTGTGAAGTAAAAGAAGCAGAGATGGTAAATGTTGAAAAGGTATCTTGGGCCCTCTAAGCCCGACTCTTAATTCAAGTGGCATCATCCACTGCACCATTTTCATATCAGTCTCCTTTGTACATCTCTAATTGCTAATGAAAATGAAAGTTAGGCTACCTCAATAGACATCTCAGTCCTTAGTTTACCTCAGTGTTGAGAAAATACTTCCTTTAAACCTAAAAGAAAAGCATTATCCCACGTAATCCCACAAAGTTGTCCAGTGATTGACTTTAAAATAGTTCTAGCGTTTGCCCAAACTTTTTCCTCACAATACACTTACACTTCTCACTCATCAGCAGAGGACTGTTGTTAGATGCTGTAGGCATGGAGAGAAAGTTCACATATCATTTGTCCTTATTTTTAGCAAATGCTGATCTTTCAAGATTAACTACTCTATATTAGTTCTGCCTACTAATATGCTTACTGAAAACTGTGACTTAAATACATATTATACATATAAATCAAGATAGGTTTTATTTATTTGCTTTAAAGACCCCAAAATGATTTTGAAAATGTATCTCAGAAAAGAAAAAGACTGGTAAACCTTAGTGCATAGACCAACCCCTTAAAATTGTCTTCAGTCAGTTCATATGTGGAAGTGGGGGGAATGCTGCAAAGAATAGGGTTCCAAAGGGTCTCCTGTGCTATTAACTGCTCAGGATATGACTTCCGCCTTTGCCTGTTTTCATTTGCAGAGGGAAAGTAGGTGGGCAAAGCTGAGTCAGGAATTGGCATGAGAGTTTCCTGTCATTCCTCTGTTCCCCTGAACCCTAAAAGGTGAAGGAAGATCTGAAGAAAGAAACCAAAGAGGGCCTATCCCTACTTCCTAAGGGTAGAAAATAAACTCACAGTTATTTTTTTTTTCCTATTTTAAAACCCACTGCCAATGTAATTTTAAAAAGATATATTTTTTTAATTTTTTAGTTTTTAGTAAGCAACTCTTAAAAACGGAAAATGAAATCTGTTTCCAGAATCTCCTACATGTAGTAGTTTCTTAGAAGGGGACTTCCCAGAGTGCTTCTGATGTGTGTTTTACTGAAGCATGAAGAACGTTTTGTTAACATCTATTTGGAAGCTTTTACATGACAACTTTTTATCAAATTTTCAAGTTGTATTGTTACTGCCTGTTCTTCAGCACTATATTCTCTGAGTTGAGAAAAAAATACAAATAAAGAAGTCAAATTACAGATCTTTTACTTATTGAGCTATCACTTAATGGTATGCTTACAAATAAGATAATTTAATAATATTTTTACATAATTAGTTTCCTTAAGAGTTTCAGTTTAATTCACAGATTTGTTTTGGGTTACCTGATAGCATAAACTGTGGGATATTTGCTTCATGGGACTATTTTTTCTTATTTTGAAAGATTAGATACTTTTTATGCTATCACAGTGACTAAGAATGCAATAATTTAAACTGTCTTCCTGATTTTTACTTGAGTGATTGTTTTTATGTTTGTTTTTATTAATTTTACAAAACTATTGGAAGAATATTTTCATAAATTTGGAACTAATTGACTGGTCAGCTGATATGGGTTACTTTAAGTTAGAATCTGTCATTCAGTTTCAGCTGCTATGTTCTAATTAATAAGCAGAGTCTCTGGTCTGTGAAAATGAAGATGGTGGATTTTCCAGTATATGTGTATGTATACATATATGTACCTGTGCACATACGGTAATGCAGTAGTTAGTTAAACTAATGCTGACTTTGATAGGGCCAGGATTTCATACCCAGATAATATTATAACTACAGCAATAATTCATAGTAGCACCAACAGTGATAGGAAGATTCATAACCAAGTGCCTTATCACCATTAGTCTGAGCAAGTATGGACTCTTATTTTTCCATAAGATAGTATGATAGTCTCATAGGATTCAATCACTGATGAATTTCATAACTTCATGGTTTAGACCCTGAAATGATCTTTGTTCTCATTTGCAGGATTAAGTTCTACAGAATTTCTGTGAGAGAAATGAGTCTGTTCTACAAAAACTTGGACCTACCCAGAAAGGTCAAGTTACTTCTAAAAATGAAAGCTGTGGCATGTGCCATTGCCTCTCACTTCTTTAGCAGGGATGATGGGGTTTATGTATATACATGTATATGTTTAATTTTTCAAATTAAAGTATCTTACCTATTTAAAAATCAACACAACTCATCTGAGACACTGAAGTTTAGTTAACTCTAGCACACACCACGTGAAAAAAATATAAAGAAAACATACCTCTTCGTAAGCTATTGTTTGCTTTTCTGAACCAAAATCTCTGAAGGAAGTTAGTGCCTCTAGTACAAGATTCTGGGCATCCACAGGGCTTGATATTACATCACCTTCTTAGAACATTGTGCAATAATATATACTGTTATGGTGCTGTGGAAGAATTCTGTCCACATTTTATATTTTTTAGTGGCATAGATAAACGAGTAGTTATAAGCTGTAGGCAATCACTTCCACAGTGCCGGTTTGGCAGGCAATTTTCAGACAATTTCTATTTATAGGCTGGATCTATGGCATTACCATGTTCTTTACATCTGCACCTTCAAAATATAAAAATGGAGCACATCATAAACTTTTTTTTCAAAACCACTGTCTTCCGTGAGAGCAGGATTTTACTCAGCATTTTTTCTTCATCCTGATGGCTATATATATCTAAAGTACTTGTTTTCCACAGGAATATTTTAGCATAGATCTCCTTGTTTTCTTTTCATTCTATGCTCTTTTTTTATTCTAGAAAACCTAATTAGGTGAAATTAATAGGAATATATTTTTCTGTAATATTATAGATCCACAAGTAGATCTGGGCGATGTTCATCAGTTCTGCACAGTCTATCCTATAAGCTGCTTTCTGTAGGAGATCTTTGTAGGTTTATACTTGTAATTTACTTTTTGATTTGTTATCACTTAGGAGAGATTTTAGCGCATCGAGAAAAAGATAACATTGCAATACACTGCCTGCTGTTTTGAGATGTTGCCCGATTCAGCTGTTGAATATGTCCAGTGACTCACGTCTCTTAAAGAATCTTTCTCAAACAACAGCATGGTCAAAGATTGCTCTGAGGAGAGCAAGGTTGT